TAGTCTCAGCTGCACGTTGAGAAAGCCCAGGGGGTCGAAATATCCGAAGCACACCACTAAGACGTCTCTCATAATAATAATTGTTGGAGTTTAACCTCCCAAAACCACTATACGATTATGAGAGACGAAGGAAAATAAAAGTAATAAGAGAAAAATAGAAATAAATAGAAACCAAGCAAGAATAGAAGAATAGACTACAGAAAAGAAAAAACGAAAGCAAGGGAAGGGGGGGGGGGAGGAGAGAAGACTGAAGAGAAACAAAGAAGGCTGCCTAGCTCCGCACTTCCTTCAAAGGCTTGTAACAAGCTCGATGTCTCGGGATGGCTTTCAGCTCTCCCATAGTAGAGCACCGAGTACTCTATATAATTAACAACTTTTATATATGTGAAGCATTTCTTAGTGAACTTCGGTGACTTTGAGCGTATCTATCTATCTATCTATCTATCTATCTATCTATCTATCTATCTATCTATCTATCTATCTATCTATCTATCTATCTATCTATCTATCTATCTATCTATCTATCTATCTATCTATCTATCTATCTATCTATCTATCTATCTATCTATCTATCTATCTATCTATCTATCTATCTATCTATCTATCTATCTTGCCAGTTACGTTTGGGTGCTCTCGTGGTCACCCCTATAACTTGGCGTGACCCAAAATTAGCATGGAAAGGTAAGAGGGTTTGACGAATATGACGCGCTGATCAAGACATGAATAATGTCACAATCCCGTCACGTACGTCGTTAAACACTTCCCGCCAGACAGTGGCACATACTCACGGGTGGGTATGTGCCACTGGTATGCGTGTATGTGCCACAGGTGATTGGCACTTGTATCTACCCAGGAACGATGAGAACACACATGGGCAATTTTAACTCGTGAACGTTAACAAATACTCGACATCAGTAGCGTCGACCCGACGAATGCAAAGAATAAATGGCAGGGTCTCAGCAGGAATCGAACTCAAGCATCCAACGTGGGAATAAAGCACTTTACCACAGAGCTACGCCAGGTGTCGGAACTACTTTTCAAATAGACGCTAACCTTCGTTAAACGTCAATAGTGGTTGCAGTGCTGGCTACACAATTTTATAAACATTACATATGGGTTCTTTTGATACAGCCGTCACGTCGGGTTAACGTCAATTGTGGTTAGCCGCCATGCGCTGAAGTTGATGTATGTAGCAATGTCCAGGGCAGCATCAGCAACAGTATCGCAAGCATCAGCGCTTCATATCAGCTTGTGGTGTGGCTGATATGTATGTTCCAGTTGGCATTGTTGTACAAGTGCAAACAATTGGTTCTATAAACATCTGCAACTCTTCAACATATGTCTGTACGTGCAACATTTGTACACATATATAGATAGCGTCATACAATCATGTGTCGCTCAATGACAAAATTGCAACATGGTCACCTTCCTTCCGCATGCTTCGCATAATGTCGATTCGAAGCAGGTTCATGGGATCTGCCGATTTTTTTTAAACACACAGTTTTATTTTATACTCTTGCTTTCATTGCATTTGAAACTGTGGGCGTAGGACTTCCCTTCCACGACAAAGGCCCATGCCCGGCTGCTGGGGAAGTATGCGGGCCACGTACGAGTGGGCTAACCTTGGGCACCGACGGTGCGTGTGCCTGTTCTGATCGCTCCACCCTATGTGACGTTAGGCTAATATCTCATAAAGGAGTCAAGATAATACAGTGCAATGAGCGTAATATAAAGTAAACAGAAGGAACGTAAGCTTTTTTTGTTTTCTGCACTTCAATATTTTCTCAAGCTAGATGTACTCAAAAACTAGCGGCAAAATTCACGGTGTTGCTTCTTAATATAGGTCTGTTTGTCACTGATCGGCGACTTCCACTAATTACACGCATTGGCTGGCATTAAGCTTTAAACAGTAGTCCTATCGCGCAAGAATATTTTAATGAGGTGGCTACGCATGCTTTGAAAGTCCATATTTCACAGCAGTCACTTTTGTGGAGAGTATGTTGGGGATATATGCAGAAATCAAGTTGACCATATACATAATTTAAGTTCATTCATATTAAGTTAATTAGTTATTTATTTCTTTGATTACTTTTGTGTTGGCTGACTGACTGAAGTGATCTCATTGAACTGAACTGTAATGAACTGTTCGTTCGTTCTTTCATTCGCTAGTTTGCTCATCCGTTCATTCAGTGATTTGTTCGTTGGTTCGTTTGCTTGTTATTTGTTTAATCTGTCCATCAGTCGGTCTTGGTGTTTTCTACCTGGGTTTGCTTGTAACCCTGGCCTGGCAGCAGCTCCTGCTTTCAGCCAGTGTTATGAAGGCATCGACAGCTTGCCGGCCGCAGATGTTAGGGACAAGTTGTGTTATTATTAGTTAGTGGGGCCAGGCAATGATGTTATAGAACGTCTGCTTGTCTAACACATCCCCACTCATTCATCAAGGTTTTATGTGGTCAGTGGCGTAAATGAAAGTTTCACCGAATTAAATAAAGATCGCCGGCGCGCTAGTTGCATTAATTCACCCGGTGGGTGCCGATCCCGACAAATATAGTCGACGAATTCGACGACGAATACGACGAATTCGAAAGAGGCAAATACACGCGTAAAATTGAGAGCCATCAATTAATTGGGCAGCGTGTGCCATCTCTCGGCGCTAGCTATAAATAGATTCTGCGCAGTGATGCCTGACAAACCTAGATGGCAGCAGATACAAATCTTGCACAAGAGCGGGTTTTTTTTTTTAATGGAAAGACGACAGTCTGAAAAAAACATAATTCCTTCGCGCTCAAATTGATGATCTTCGGCAGGTGGTAGCACATATTTTGCATTAGGAACCGAATAGCACTGTTTACCTGTATGGCTCTCTAGGCTTTTTTTTCTTTTGTTCTTTCCTAATCCGTAGTGCCACGGTTTCTTTACATTCTTTATTCAGCCTGGCCAAGTTAACGTTTATGCAACCTGACAGGGCACACGTCTTTACGTACTCTATCACGTCCATTGCAATCAGTAAACTGCAGCACAATACACTATTGTCATACGGTAAAACATTTTGCACTAATTATCTTCTGCGTAAAAGACAACCGACCAGTACCGAATATTTTTACGGCGAGAGCCTTGGAGGCCTTATCAAAGACGAAATTTGATCATCGGTGGCGACCATCTCGCAGCGTCGGGGATGCCCAAAATCATCATGGTTGAATTGAATTCAATTCATATTACAAAGTTTGCGAACACTGTCATGACCCATTGCCATATGCCAGTTTAAGGCCAAAAACAACACTTCATTAAGGCACTTCAGTAGAGCGCAACTATATGAAGTTATATAACATTCCTAAAAAACAACAATGCACCTGGAATAATTACAAAAAGAAGGAAAGGAACTCCTGTGCACATACATAATGAGAATAAGAATTTGTCGTCAGAATAAACATGACATTACATTCACAGATCAGTTAGTTCCCTTAAATACTGATTGCCTAGTGCTCTTGAAGTTTCTTAAAGACATTTTTATTTCAAGATATGTAGCATTCCATATTTTAATACTTGTGAATTGCAGCAGACATTCGCCATATGCGCTTTAGTACGCTGATTATCGCAATTACCAAAGGTCAATTGTCCGCTAAAACAATGACACGTTAAAAGTGTGGTTGTGTTTCATAGCAGTGCGTTCGCGTTTAGTTAATTTTAATTTCTGTAGAAGGCCATGACGTCACATGGTGACGTCATGGTGACGTCGCCAGTGAAATCATTCTCTACGATTTTGTCTCTATTCTTTTCATCTGTTCGTCTCCGGTGAACAACTGGCGACTCGCCCAACACTTTGCCTTACTTGCTTTATTGGTTGACTTGGTGCCCCGTATACCTTTTTACAAAACCTATTGAACCTGCACCTAGCGGTGTTTCTTTTGATGAGTGCACTGGCATATTAGACGGCGCCACGTTGACCTAAATGTGTCCCCTATTCTGGCGGCCGAAGGTTGGAAAAGAGTTCTCCCTGTAATTTATAGAGCGAGGCACGATAGAAAGAAAATCGATAAGCGGACGCCACCTTGACTCGTCAATGAAAAATCGTCCCGCGCGGAAAGACGCCTTGCGAGTAGCTGGTCTCACTTTCGCCGTCCGGGCCTTCCACCCTTGAAGATTGGCTTCCTCTGGGCGCACTAAAGTACTGCAAAAAAAAAACGCCTTCCGGAGCCGTCGCGCGGAATTTACAGAGTGCGACCGAAAGGCAAACACTCGAGGAAAGGAAAGGCGCTTCCCGCTGATGTACCCGAGGCACCCGAAGCGACTGCTTCAGCCTCAGTGCGTAGAAGGTGGCATAAATGAAAGAGGCGTACCGCGGCTGCTTCTTTCTTTTTCTCTTTCTTTCTTTCTTTCTTTCTTTCTTTCTTTCTTTCTTTCTTCCTTTCTTTCTTTCTTTCTTTCTTTCTTTCTTTCTTTCTTTCTCTCTTTCTTTCTTTCTTTCTTTCTTTCTTTAGCAGTATTAACAAAAATGAAAAAAAAAAGCACCAGTGCAACGGTCTGCTTTTGGCTGGACGGAACGTGACACGACGAAAGACACCTACGTAGGTCAGTGCTTTTTGACGAGCACACATTTGAACACGCAGCAGTGTGGCTCCGCCGCTGATGTGTGCGCAGCGGGAGCAGAGGAGAAAGATTCTCTCCTTCACCAAGCTTTCGCGGAATGACCTTAAATAAGAGACGCGGTCAGCACACGAGAGGGTGAGAGCGGAAACCATGTTGATACTGCTGCTGATCAAAAGGGGTTTCGTGCTTCGCTTACTGGTACCGAATTTAATCTGAAACGAGGGGCACTTTAGGAAGACGAGAGATGGAGTTGCAGCACTGACCATCGTTCTAATGAACACTGCTCTTCAGTTGCCGTAGAGGTAGCTCAGCCCTCGTTAGAGGTAACCTATACCCAAGGAGGTTTAAAAAGAAACTTCTGGAGTGGAAGCACCTGCCCTCTGGTGACGCCGACGGCCGCCATGTTGCTCCAGGCAAAAAACGTGCCGTCGGTCGTTTGGGCCCCCGCCGTTCGCGCCACTGAACAACAGTTGTCGCGTTTGTCCCTCGTTCTTTTGTTCTGTGCGGATTTTGTGCAGTTCTAAAGGAAGTTGACACGATTCCGGACGTTATGGTGAGCTCGTGTGTCGCCTTCGGCTGCACTAATCGTGCGAAGCAGAAGCCAGGAATCACTTTTCACGTGTAAGTACGCGGGAAAAAGCGCTTTCAATCACTTGTCTCCTTCGGCGCGCTACCTCATTCGAGAAGCGCGGTTTCAGCTGAAAACTTACTTTCATTAGCATTTTTCAGCTGGCGCGTAGAAGTTGAATAACCTATTTTGTGCGTGTGGTACCGCAGGTTTCCGAAAGACAAGACGCTGCGTGACGCATGGCAGCGTGCTGTTCGGAGGGATGGCTGGGAGCCTAAGAATGCGGACGTTCTCTGCTCGGAGCACTTTGAAGCCAACTGCTTTGACAGGACGGGCCAAACGACCAGACTGCGACCAGGGAGCATTCCTACCATTTTTCCTGCGTTCCCTGCGCATCTCCAGAAACCAGTGAGTACCATCACGAATGTACATTTTCGTTACGGTAAATAGGCTATAGATTTCCGAATGTGTAGGCACAGTTTCTCGTTTCCTACGTGCTGTTCAAAATCACACCACTCTCTGACAAAGCGCACGTCACGTACACTTACTTGTCCAACTTCTTTTTTTTTCACTGTGCGTGCATAAATACGGGCACGCTAAACTTCCGCACCGAAACTATAAAAAGATCCCCGAGGTAGTAATCCCGTTTCTAGTCAGTCTAAGCAGTGGGTGGGACCATTATACCCGGCTTCTGAACTTTGGAGCATAACTGATTTTTTTTTTCTTGCAGGCGAAAAGACAGCGAGAGGCCCCTAAGTGTCGGACTGCGCTGTCACCTGTCGTCAGTGCTGAGGCAGCGGTTGAAATGCCATCTGAGCCTGCCACCACTAACAGCTGTGAAAACAAACGGTGGTCTGGTGGCGCCATCGAAAGACGTCTTGAAGATCTGCCACACTGTGGAGAAAGGGCTTCGTGCCCTACAGGTTCAATATAAGGACCTAAAATCGTTGCATGAAAACAGTGATCGCCTCATGGTAGAGGTGTTAACGGAGGTGTTTGAACAAGCATTATTTTCTGAGTTAGAGCCTCATCTGTTGGACTGCGATCCACTCGACAATCACATCTACGTTTTGGCGAAAAAGATTGCCAACCTGTATATAACAATCAGGCTTCACCACATTTCCAAAGAAATCAACCGCAAGAACTCGCGCAGTGGGGTACGAACCCAGCTGACAAGGACTATTATATTTAAAAATCTGTAAGGTACAGATGAGAACCAGCGTTGAACAAAGCGGAGCAGCTGGTATATTCTATATTTTTTGCAATTTTAGTGTGTTGTTATAGAGTTGCCTGATATAACCTGCGTTTTGGGAATCAGACCGTTTTCGTGTGAATTGTTTCTGTTTTATTGTATGTGCTTTTGGAAATTGTATAAAGCCTTGAATGAATAAAAACTCATATACCCCTGTGTTGCTTCCACCGTGAGCCTCATTTCGAGAATTGCAAGCGAATCCGCACTTACAGCAGCTAACCGTTGTAATGCATATTCGCTAATACGTAATCGCGTACGGCTCACGTGTAATATCGTAACTGACGGCTTTGTACAGATCTTGTTTATCTAACACGAAGAAAAAAATGCGAGTGAAATTAATTACACTAAGTGCCCCGTTTCATTCGAAAAAGCCGCCACGGAAGCGCGCTGGTACGTTGTCTGCGCTCTCTCTTGCCTGGAGCAAGATGGCCGCCAACCGGTTTCCCCGGCTTCACCCGCTTGCGTAGGCGTGAATAGGGGACCTCCACTCCAGAAGTTTTTTTTAAACCTCCTTGCCTATACCAAGTGCTTTTGACCTAGATAGAGAGATGAATGGGTGAATGGAGGAAGGCTGGTTTTAAATGTGAAGGATTCCTTTTGCACGCTGCAGCACTTTGAGTATGTATGTATGTATGTATGTATGTATGTATGTATGTATGTATGTATGTATGTATGTATGTATGTATGTATGTATGTATGTATGTATGTATGTATGTATGTATGTATGTATGTATGTATGTATGTATGTATGTATGTATGTATGTATGTATGTATGTATGTGCCTACGTCTGGGTCCTCTCGTGATCACCACCTTAAAAATTGATATGTGAGGGTAAGATTGTTTGACGAATATGACTTGCTTGTCATGACATCAGTAATGTCACAATCCCGTCTCGTACGTCAGCAAACCCTTTCCGCCCGACGTATGGCGCATACCCGTGGGTAGGTATGTGCTTAATCGACGTAGCGCGTTTTAAAACATGGGACAGGGGAAGAGACAGAAGGGAGCGCTTCTGTCCCGCGCTCCCTTCTGTCCCTTCCCCTGTCCTATATATTCTTACAAGAAAACGTATATTTACAGATATTTACAACGATTACACGCGATGACAATGCCTGGCGCACTGGCGGGCTGGAACCAGTCTCTATTCACTTCGTAGTCTTTTTCTTTCAGCCAGGGACCCTCTACCGCTTTATGCCCCAATCCCACTACTGCCTTGTGGCACTACCCCGCGGCGTTAAAGCGCCGACCCGGCGCTTGTCACGAAAGGGGTGTGTTGGGTGACACATAAGGCTTCAGTCTGACGACGTGCACAATAGTGGATGGTGGTGGCATTGTGTGCGCTTCGTCGACGACTCGCTGTATCTCGTAGGTGAGGTTGCTGATCTTGCGAAGGACTTTGTATGGTCCGTCATAGCGAAATAAAAGTTTTTCTGAGAGGCCGATGTGACGACATGGGGTCCACAAGAGTACGAGAGAACCTGGTGCATACGAAACTTCGCGGTGGTGACGATCATATCGATCTTTCTGAGAGGCTTGAGAAAGCATGAGTCGTTCTCGGGCAATCTGTCGTGCTGCGTCGGCTCGCTCTATGGCATCGCGGACGTATGTGACAGGGGAGCTTGAACCAGCGGGAAGGAGTGTATCAAGAGGCAGAGAGGGTTCCCGTCCATAAAGAAGGTAAAACGGGGAATAGCCTGCGGTGTCATGTCTGGAGGAGTTGTAAGCGAAGGTGACGTAGGGTAACGTTGCGTCCCAGTCACGGTGGTCTGGAGAAACATACATTGACAACATGTCCGTGATAGTGCGATTCAGGCGTTCTGTAAGTCCATTAGTTTGTGGATGGTATGCCGTTGTGAACTTGTGGTTCGTGGAACAGGAACGTACGATATCCTGGACGACGCGAGATAAAAAGTATCGGCCTTGATCAGTAACGAGCTGTCGAGGAGCGCCGTGATGCAATATGATGTCATGTAGCAGAAAGTCGGCGACATCGGTAGCGCAGCTGGTTGGAAGAGCGCGGGTGATCGCGTAACGTGTCGCGTAGTCGGTCGCCACGGCAACCCATTTGTTCCCGGAGGCAGAAGTGGGAAATGGCCCGAGAAGGTCGAGCCCTACGCGGTAGGATGGTTCAGCAGGGATCTCAATAGGGTTAAGAAGGCCAGCTGGAAGCGATATTGGTCGTTTTCGACGTTGACAAAGGTCGCAGCTGGCGACATACTTTTGCACAGAGCGATATAGGCGTGGCCAGAAAAAACGGCGCCGGGCGCGATCATAAGTGCGGGTGACTCCCAGGTGACCAGCGGCAGGTTCATCGTGAAGCTGTCGGAGAACATCTACACGCAGATGGGAAGGCACGACGAGAAGGCGGTCAGGACCATTAGGGCGCATGTTGTGGCGGTAGAGAACTCCTTCATGAAGGAAATACAAGTTCAGGGAAGTGGGCGGAGTAGCGGAACTCAGGCTTTCTATGATGGGAAGTAAATCCGGGTCGCGGCGTTGCTCAGAAGCGATATCAAGAAAGTCTGATATTGATAAGACGCAAGTTTCCGTAGCTCTCTCTGTGGCGTCTGGTGGATCCACTGGATACCGTGACAGGCAGTCGGCGTCTTGATGGAGGTGACCAGATTTATAGACGACCGAGAAGGTGTATTCTTGGAGGCGTAGAGACCAACGACCGAGACGTCCCGTGGAATCCTTTAGCGAGGAAAGCCAGCAGAGTGCATGGTGATCAGTTACAACAGTAAAACTGCGGCCGAAGAGGTACGGGCGAAATTTAGCGACAGCCCATACAAGAGCAAGACATTCTCTTTCGGTGATGGAATAGTTCCTCTCGGCAGGGGATAAAAGGCGGCTGGCGTAGGCGATGACACAGTCACGTCCATGCTGACGCTGAGCTAAAACAGCACCAATTCCGTGGCCACTCGCGTCCGTAGGAACTTCTGTCGGGGCAGTCTGATCGAAGTGGGCTAATATTGGCGTAGTCGTGAGGGCTGCAATGAGCGCCGAAAATGCAGCACTCTGAGGCGAATTCCAAGTAAATGGGACGTCTTTTTTAAGAAGCTCGGTGAGAGGCCGCGCAATATCGGCGAAATTTCGGATGAAGCGGCGGAAATAGGAGCATAAACCAAGGAAGCTCCGGACATCCTTATGAGAAGAGGGCACGGGAAATTGAGTCAATGCGCGAATTTTGTCTGGATCGGGCTGTACCCCAGATGCGTTAACAAGGTGACCAAGTACAGTTATTTCGCGACGACCGAAACGGCATTTGGAGGAGTTGAGCTAGAGACCAGCGTTGCGAAATACTTGGAGAATACTGGACAGTCGCTCTAGATGGCTTGCGAACGTCGGTGAAAAAACAATTATGTCATCTAAGTAGCATAAGCAAGTGGACCATTTGAAGCCGCGCAGAAGGGAGTCCATCATGCGCTCAAAGGTGGCCGGTGCATTACAAAGCCCAAACGGCATTACTTTAAATTGGTATAACCCATCGGGGGTTACAAATGCTGTTTTTTCTCGGTCCCGTGGGTCAACAGCGATCTGCCAATAACCAGATCGAAGGTCAATGAACGAGAAAAACTTTGCGCCATGAAGGCAGTCAAGGGCGTCATCTATTCTTGGTAAAGGGTAAACGTCCTTCTTAGTGACCTTGTTGAGATGTCTATAGTCGACGCAAAACCGCCATGTGTTGTCCTTCTTCTTGACAAGCACGACCGGGGATGCCCACGGACTAGATGAGTGTTCGACGATGCCTTTGGCGAGCATTTCCTCGACCTCTTTCTGGATGACAGAGCGTTCGGCAGCGGAGACGTGGTAAGGGCGGCGATGAATTGGGTTGGCATCGCCGGTGTTGATGTGATGGGTCACAACTGATGTCTGGCCTAAAGGGCGGTTGTCAAGATCGAATATGTCCGCATAGGATGTCAACAGACGGTGGAGGTCTTGTGCTTCGGAGGGCGAAAGATCTGGCGCTATGATTTTGGCAATGTCAATGCTTGACAGGTTGGGCGCAGTGAGCAAGTTGACGTGCGGAGTAGGTTGCTGAGCCAACAGTTCAGAAATATCACACTCTTGCAACGACGACATGACGCCTAGTTTAATACCAGCAGGCAGCACATGCGTGGAGAAACCAAAGTTCAAAAGAGACAGATGGGTCTGATTGTGGCATACTCTCACCACGGTGTGCGGGACAGCAATGGAGTGCTTTAGCCCAACGTCGGTAATAGGTGAAACGACATATTCACCATCGCGCACAGGCGGATCACACACGAGCTGCACGTAAGTCGCGGCTTGCGGCGGAAGATGCAGGAACTCGGTGGCACAAAGGCGACTTTGAGCGTCATGGGCAACAGCTGCGTCAAAAGGCAGTTCCAACTGAAGAAGACCCGTCGAGCAGTCGATAAGGGCGGAGTGCGCAGAGAGAAAGTCGAGGCCAAGAATCACGTCATGTGGGCACTGCTCAAGCACGGTGAACAATACGACGGTCTGGCGCCCAGCAATACACACGCGAGAGGTACACATGCCGAGAACGGCAGATGTGCTCCCATCGGCAAGCATTACTGCACACTTAATAGGAGGCGTGATCACTTTTCGCAGTTTAATACAGAGAGCAGAAAAAAAACGCAAGGAAAACTTAGCTTGAGGCCTTTCCTACAGTATAGTTATCAGTGACAATTTAGTAGGC